CTCACTATGTCAGTGAAGGGCACTGACCAAACACCTCACTATGTCAGTGAAGGGCACTGACCAAACACCTCACTATGTCAGTGAAGGGCACTGACCAAACACCTCACTATGTCAGTGAAGGGCACTGACCAAACACCTCACTATGTCAGTGAAGGGCACTGACCAAACACCTCTCAATGTCAGAGAAGAACTTTGGTGGAATACCTCACTATGTCAGAGGAGGGCACCGAGTGATGTTCTAGCATTTGTCACAACAGTATACAGTATTTTATAAAACATTATCATGCACTTTAATCCCAACATTCCCTTTACACCGTCTAAAGATGGAAAACATCTTTAAATCCAGATCAATATGCAGGAAAGTGTGCTGTCTGCATCCAGTTAATACACCTGGCATGCTGGTGAGAACACAATGGGAACACGGAGAGGCTGGCTGTAATGCATTTTCTCACGCCGACAATTAAGTCATTACATTTACTGCATTATTTATTCATGGCTGTGTAAAGCTCTTTATTATTTTCTGAAAGTCGGGAACAATACCCTATCCCGTTTCCTGAGAACAATGATAGCTGAATTATCCAAACAAGATCCTTTGTTCCTGACAAGCACAGTCATTGGATTGAAAATATGAAGCATAAAATTACAGATGATTATAGTGTTATTGTTGTTGTTGTTATTGTTGATGTTAAATGGAATCACTTTTGTCATTAAAATGTGGTTCCGCTTACAAGTGACCTTCTGTATCCAAGGGTTCGAAGAAAGAACTGTCTGTATTGACCTATAACCAATTTGATTCAGACTATTTTCCCTGGGGTTCCGCTTTAAGGTAACTAGGGATCAATAAGTGGAACTTTCAGTAGCTTTACAAGTTTACATAAATAAATTCCCGATGTGTCACAATATACAGCAACAGTATCATTGTCCAAAAAAAGCTCCACCTTTTATCATTAAAAATGAAGGATGCACCGATACCATTTTTTCGGTATGGAGTACGAGTACTGATATTTATTATTTCGGTACTCGCCGATACCAAGTACCGATACCGGTACTTCTGGTAGTATATAGCTGGCTTTCCGGGCAATCAGGGTGCCAGGCAGCATGTCATTACCCACCGCCCGGCTTCGTGATTGCACGGGAAGCCGACTCCATGCTGTTTGGCCGGCTCGATGCTGATCGGCCAGGAAGCCGGCTTCCCATCCAATCAGCATCGAGCCGGCCAAACAGATCTGATAATATGGTGACACAACCTTCACCTTGCAGACACCCCATTCTTCTCACATCCCATTCTCCACAACCCCATATCCATCCTCAGCAGCAGTCATTACCATACCACAGATGTCCCATGGCCAGCTGGGTAGACACCGCTCTCCAAGCTCTCCCGGATCTGCCCACGTCTCCGATGTGTGTACAGTGCCCGCACCGCCTGCGTGATTGGCCCTCAGCCTGCTACTGCGCAGACTGCCCATCGCTCTCATTCAGAAATCCTCTAACAGCATAAAGTACACACACCAGAGTCAGGCAGCGGTAAAGCGTCTTAGAGAGCTGTGTCTGGCCGAGGGACATCTGTGGTACGGTGATAACTGCTGCTGAGGATCGATATTAGTGTGATGTGAGGTGTCTGCAGGGTGGAGGTTGTGTCACCATATTATCAGATCTGTTTGGCCGGCTCAATGCTGTTTGGCTGAGAAACCGATGTCCCAGCCAATTAGCATGGAGAAGGCCAAACAGCACGGAGCAGGCTTCCCTGCTCCATGTTCCTCGCTGCACTGCCGGTCAGAGGGAATGTCCCTCTGACCGGACGTTCCGGTATCGGGGAAGGTATCAGAGCATTTGGGCGAGTATGAGTACTCACCCAAATACTCAGTATCTCCACCAATACTGATACTAGTATTGAATTTCCCCTCACTTCTTGACCATGTGAACACAAAGAAAGTCACTTCCTTTTTCAGTGACTACACAGAAAGTGAGAGAGCAATTAAAAACTTGACAGTTACGCTGACCCTTCTCCACTGTATTCAAAACTAAAATAACGTCAGGTCTTGCCTTTAATATATGACTGATATTCCGGTGGAATGTTGTACTCATACGATGGATTCCTCTTTTCTCCTTCTGTCTCTATCCTAGGTCGATATACTACACGGAGTCCACGCTGTCTCTCCCAGTCATATCCAATCAGCACAGCAGCAGTTTGTCCACAATGTACACCAGCCCCCCGCGGAGTTATCCGGTCACACGCTGGTCAGTCCCAACCGCAGCTCAGGTTTGTAAGCTCCACATACCATATGACCTGCCTGAAATGGACCTTAAAGGATTTTCTGCAAAACCTGAACTTCTAAAAAGGGCCAGTCCATCCAAAAGTTATATTTAAATCCTAAGTTGGGTTTTGTGAGCCCCATCACAGACTGCCCTCTAATACCGTATCTCCTGGGGTCTCCAGCAAAGGCATTTCCCTGTCATAGCTCCTGTCACACTTGAAATGTTCTCACCCTCCTGTTGCGTTATAATATTTAAAACAGAGAGAGTGGGATCTCCTAGTAATGGCTGGCTGCTGTACAGACCTCTATAAGCAGGGCCATCCCTTTTAATGTTGCCTCAGGCGGCATCTCTTTGGGTCACATGGGAGGGGGGCGACAGTGCGCAGTGCAGTGTGCCTGTTGCCCCTTTCCGGCCAGAGCATTGTTAAAAACCAGGCTGAGAGATGTGTAGAGGTGTAAGGACCCCACACATCTCCCCATCCAGCTCTTAGCAACTTCGGACGCTCTGGCTGGTGTCCCACCCAGCTCCTGACCAGTGACGTCACTGGTTGCCTGGAGCTGGGCAGGACGCCGACCAGGGAATTACAGGATGCAGAGCCTGGGCAGGGTGATGCAGGCCCCGCAGGTTGCATGTAGCACCAGCACCCAGTCCCCCTCTGCCTCAGGCAGCAAAGAGACACGGGACACCCCTAAATATGTGCTATTTTACTAACACAAGTATGTTGCACTAAACCTTTCATGCATTCATTCAATGAAAGCCTTTATAGAGCAAAAGTAGTGCTGGGAAAAGTATTTTTGTGTTTAACTGATAATCGTTTGCATATTAATTCTTTATGGTCCAAGTAACGCAGGGGGCGTGGCAGGTTTGTGTCCTTTGTCTACATACTTTATGCTAAACGATGTCCCGCTTTACCATCTAAGAAAATTGGTAGGTACCAAAAACTCTGACTTTGGGTGAACTGACCCCTTTTAAGAACCTTTTAATGCCTAACTGTTATTTTGACATATGAATTAGGGCTGTTCAGAGACTGCGCTCTCCTGCTTTCAGAGCATATGTTCAGCTTCTAAAAGAGCCATGAGGACAATCAGATGTTGGTGAACAATCCAACCCTTATTAGGTGCCAAGTTGGCCCTCAGACATGTATGTTCAACTTCAGGTCAATGGAAAGTAGAGATGTTGTTGTACATTTTACCTTTAGAAACAAGGATACCTAGTAGTCAATAGGTCAAATGCTTGTTACAAACGTCAAGACATTGGTCACTTGGTCTTAACCGATTGTCAGATCACTGCTCAGGCAGTGTGACCTGAAAACCTCTAAGGTGGTTTAGAATAGAAAGATCGTGGTTGCCAAGGTGGCTCTCAGACATGCTGGTCAATGGAAAGGAGAGATGTGGTCGGCGCTACTGATTACCTTTGCCGGGCCTTTAGAAACAAGGATACCTAATCAATAGAAAAGGTCAAATGCTTGTTGTCAATGTCAAGGCTTTGGCTGCTCACCCAGAATAAAGAAAGGCAATCCATGTTATAACTAGAAGCATCAATGATTTCAGCAATTGTTCATTTTCCGGGTGCGCGCGAGCGGGAAATGGCCGAAATTTTAAAACAGGCAGCGTTGTTAACATCGCTTGTATGTTGCAACGATCGGTGCGCACCCCCCTCGTTACACGAGCTCCCTCCGGTCCCCTCTCCTCTGAAAGAATGCGGAAGTGTTGTATAATACATCACTTCCGCATTCTTGTGTCACTCTCCAGCTTCAGAAGCTGCAAAGAAGCTGATGGAGCAGATCTGTGCTTCATCAGCTTCTTTTGGGGGGTCCTAGGTGACATTAGGGGTCTTGGAGACCCCTGATGTCTCCATAAAGAGGACCTGTCACATATTTTGCTATCACATAGGGGGGTTTTATTAGCCCCCGTATGTGATAGCAATAAAGTTTAGTAAGGGAAAAAAATGTAAGTCCCCCCCCCAAAAATGTTTTAAGTTACACATAAAAAAGAATTAAACATTTTTTTTTTTAAAGTCCCCACCCATACATACACGCATGCAAACATGCGTCGGGGGCGCATACGTGCAAAAAAGACGATTGCGCCCATTACACCGCACATGTTACATATCGCCGCGAACGTCCGAGTAAGAGCAATCATTCTAGGGCCATCAATCACAGATAACACTAAACTGATGAGCGGTAAAAGCTTTTAAAGTGTCAACTATGGCCAATTTTGGGTATGGTAGTTTTCTGCGATGTCGCGGGTGCACGCAATTTTAAAGCTTGACATGTTTGGTGTCTATTTACCCGACGTGACCCCGTCTTTTATATTTTACCAAAAAACTGGGTAATAATAAATGTTTCCTAACATAATGTTAAAAAAAGCTTTTTTTCCCTCAAAATTTTCTGTAATTTTTCCTAATTATAGTGAAAAATAAAACCCCCAGTGGTGATTAAATACCACCAAAAGAAAGCTCTATCTGTCCCAAAAAAATGGTATAAAATCATTTCAGTACAGCGTTGCATGACGGAATAAATGTCAAAGTACCGCAGCGCTGAATACTGAAAAATGGCCTGGCCAGGAAGGGGGTCTAAACACCTGGTCTTCAAGCGGTTAAAGGAAGCTCCAAGTCTCACACTGGATTACTGCACAGATCTGGAAGAAATACACAAAGCTCACCAAGAATACACATGACTCTTGTATATAGATAATATTTGCTTAGCCCAGAGTTTATTTATAAAGAAACTGGTACAATTACATATAGCAGCGGCTTCAACTCTTTTTTGTTTTAGTCATTACAATACATTTTAATATGTTGCTGTGGATAACATTGTCATCGTCATGAACATCAGCTTACATAAAGATTGCCACCTCTCCGCAGTTTTTCCTGGTGTTGCCATGGTGATCATTGTCGTCTGTATCGGCTTCTTGGCGCTGATCGTTACTCTGGGGCTGTCGAGGATACACAACGTGAGGCAGAGAGGAGGATTCGACGGGGAGGAGCTTGAAACAACCAACCAGCGGGATCCATTCTGGGAGGACTCAGCAATGACCATAACTGTGAACCCCATGGAGGTAAGACCATTCATGGCACACCGTGCACATTGCAACCGAGGTCTCCTATATCTGTAGTCATACCTCAGGAAATGCTGAGAACCCTTGCAGTGCCAGGGCAGCCCCTCTGCAAGGGAAGTGCTTTTGTTTTTCCTGGAGTTCAGCCTTAAATCTTACAAAAATGTCCACAGAGAGCCAAGGAAGGCTAACATTTTTGCATTCACCACTGAAGATTTATGTGGAGAGGCAGGTAGTACCTTAATTATATCAAAAAGATACAGCCAGTAATAACATATTGAGAGCAGAACATCTAAAACATGTTATAACTGGACTACCACCAGGACAATATGTGAAAGTAAGGATGCACCGATACCGGTATTTTGGTACCGAGTACGAGTACCGATACCAATTACCGAGTAACGGAAGTCCCATTCAGGAAGCCAGGTGGCGTGTAATGACTAGCCACCTGGTTTCATGATTAGCCGGGCAGAATGTAAAGACTCGCCACCCGGCTGCCCGATTAACAAGAAAGTCCCCTCTTACATTGGTATGTCTAGCGTGTCACCCCCGGGGCCTCTCCAGCCAGAGCAAGGCCTTCCTCCGGTACCCAGCCAGAGCCGTCTGGCCGGCCAATCAGGAAGCCGGGAGCCGTGTAATGACGCGATGCCCTGCTTTCTGATTGCTCCATGCTCCCTCGTCATTTCATGAAGCCAGCTTCCCGGCCAATCAGAATGCCGGGCGCTGCGTCATTACATGGCGCACAGCTTCCTGATTGGCCAGCTTCCCGACCAATCAGGAAGCCGGGCAGCGCGTCATTACACGCTGCCGGCTTCCTGATTGGCCGGGAAGTCGGCTCCATGCTCTCTCATCACAAGTGGCCAATCAGGAAACAGGGCAGCGTGTAATGACGCGCTGTCCGGCTTCCTGATACGGGAAGTACTTGTGCTAGGCATCGGAGCAGTTGGGTGAGTATCGGCACTCGGTATCGGCACCGATATCGATACTAGTATCGATATCGGTGCATCCCTATTTGAAAGTATGGAGAGATTCTGCAGAAGTTATTCATTTTGAAAAGGAGACAAAGGAATTAAAAATGATGTTATGTAAAGTCCCCATTGGTTGATCTCTAAGCCTTTGTTCACACCTTGGAGTTTTTGAGCAGTTCGAAAAGCGCTTTCAACACAAGAAATCACATGATTTTTAATGGCGCTGGTTCACTCCTGAGCAGAAAAACGCCTAGCAGGAAAACATCAGACGCCTGAAAAGATACTGGAGCTTCTTTGGGCAGTTAAAAGCGCTTTTGCTCCCCATAGACTTCATTGGAAATGCCAAAAAACACGCAACAGAAGCATGTTGTACATTTTCGTGAGCGTTTATACGCGCATTCTTCCATTGCCCACAATGGTTTATGAGCTGCCAATCAAAACGCGCGTCTTCATGTACACGCGTTAAAACGCGCATACAGATGTGCACAACACGCAAATAACCACATGCTGCTAACGCACGTACAAACGCGCAAAAACAGGGCCACCTAGGTGTGAACCTGGGCTAAGTGGGTTTTGCTTTTCTCCTATAAGTGAAGGAAGATTACATTAGGAAGTACATTGATGTATCGCTCATCACACTTTTCCTTGAAGCGGAGAAGGTTGTAGGTTATTTTGTGGCTACCGCTCTGAAATCAGCTTTTGACAGCGAATTTTGATTGCGATGATCAATTACAAAAATTTTAAATTGGAACGGGGTAAAATTGGATGAAATGTTGATCACGGAACACAAATATCCTTAGATGGTGGAAAGAATGCAAATAATTAGATATACACTATATGGCCAAAAAGAGGTCTGTGGACACCCCTCCAAATAATTAGGTGCAGGTGTTTCCATTGGAGGGTACTGTTATCACCACGGCATATACAGGCATTTTATATAATTGTGCTCCAGGCTGGATTTAGTCCCTCTGCTGCCGCAAGGCCGGGTTCCTCAACGCACCCCCCTCCCCACAAACCTCCCCCTCAATGAATAGCAACATGATGGCGTGGGCGGCAAGGTTGATTTTTTTTCTTTTTTCTATCACTTTTTTAAATTTGTATTTCTTTTTTTTTACATTTTATTTATCTTATTTTTGTTTTATTATTTCTTATTACTTTTTTTATTTATTTTGCAATTGTTTTACTTTTTATAAAAAAAAGAATTAATTTTCACTTAACTTTATTGCTCTCACAGGAGCTAACAAGCCCCTGTGTGATAGCATTTAGAGGTGACAGGTCCTCTTTATTGAACCTGTCACTTCCAATGCAGGAGTTCTAGCACAGCACTGTGCTGGAACTCCTGTGACAGCTGAGAGGGAAAGGGCTGCGAGTGCAGCTCTCCCCTCCCACGGCATACAGGAAGTAGAGCGGAGAACGGACATTCTCCGCTCTGCTCCTCGTTCTTCATTGTGGATGAATGTGTCGTGGTCTCAGGTCCCCCAGAGGAGCAGGGGACCCTGAAAACCACGGCGGGAAGGGAGGAAGCCAGTGGTGAGAGGCAGCCTGGTAAGGTGAGGGGGCGGACCACGGAGGGGGGTGAGGTGGGGGTGGACCATGGAGGGAGGGCCGGAGCTGCACTCATATTAAGTGATCTCAGTGACATCGTCGGGATCACTTGTACTAAAAACACCGGCTTCCCAGCTGTACATTTAGCCCTACTTGCCCGTAGCAGGGTAAATGTAGAAAAAGAAACTACCCGCCTGGTGGCTGTGCCGCCCTTTTACTTCCTGCCGCCCCGAGGCCCGGCCTCGTTGGCCTTGTGATAAATCCGGCTCTGATTGTGCTCTTCTAGTCTTGTGGCAACATTTTTGTGAAGGGCCTTTTCTGTCCCAACATGACTGTGCCCTGTGCACAAAGACATGGCTTGATGAGTTTGGTTTTGAGGAGTTCAAGTGACCTGCACAGAGCCCTGACCTACTGAACACCTTTGAGATGAATTGGAGCACCTATAGTAAGGCAGGTCTTCTCATTTAGCATCAGTACCTGACCTCATAAATGTTCTTTTGGCTGAATGGGCACAAATATCCCACAGACACATTCCAAAATCTTGTGGAAAGCCTTTCCAGAAGAGTGGAGGATGTGATGGCTATAAAATGGGGGGGGGGGACTCAATTTTAATGGCCATAGTTTTGGAGTAGACTATCCAACTAGTTTATATCGGTGTTAGGGTGACTACAAACGTTTGCCTATATAGTATACTGTAGGTGTAATAGTTAGGTGTCCACCATCTTTTGACCATATTGTGTATGTAGGTCACTCCTCATGCCTTTTTTTTTTTGTTTGCTTTTCTCTTGCAGTCCGTGCAGTCTCGCGGTGTGCCCCCCAAACAGAAAGCAGCCGTCCCGGAGAAGCAGGACCTGGAAGACGAGTCATGCTGAAGGCCGACTCTTTTAGCCGTGCATATGTGTGCTTCTCGCTTATGTGTCATTCCCACCATCACCTGGTGTGTCTGCCACATCTTGACACAACTGTGCGGTGTGCGCCACTTAACCCACGCACTCTTCTAGGGGCGTGCACGATGTTTTGACTCTCTGAGTGAAGAGTGCCACATATAGACACTCAGACTGGGGCGTATCCCGTTTTATTCTTCGATTTGGAGCGCGTGCTTTCTTCAGAGTGTCTCCATCTTGGACACATTCGCTGGATTGCGCGTCACTTTGCCCATCATCTCTCTCGTTCCGGACGCCCCTTCCCACCCTCCCTCACGTCATCATTTCTCAGGGGAAAATTTGCCGCCTCCTCTCCTTCATGCTGTGTTTGTAACGGTCTAATGTGATGTTTCGACATTAGGTTCTTGAGGGGCTGCGGATTCACTCCCTACTTAGATTATCATTCCAAACTTTGACGCCAAAGGGGGGGTCAGCTTCACACCAACATCTGGGACTAGTGCCTTATTTATCAGCCCCTGAATGAAGAACTGTCTGCATAGTTCTTAGTGACCAGTCAGACTATCCCTTTCATTCTCTGGCACGAGTGCGCAAGAGAATTGGGTTGTTGTAGACGACAACCAGTTCCTTTGAGCAGTTCTTCGTGCACTAGCCCCATGAGATGTTCATCAGAATTTCTGAAATAAGAACCGTCTGTCTTGTCCAATCCACTCCAAACCAAGTTCGGCTTTATTGCTGCCATGTTCCTTCAAGTCTTAGCTTGGAAACTCCAGTGCTGGGTCACTCCCCTCCCTCATTATTATGTAAACATATATCTTGGATGCAAGTGAATCTCACCATTAGAGCCTCCAAGAGCTATAAGAAACTGGTGATTGAACTGGCCCATTGGTGTCTACCATAAACAGTGTTCTACAGAACTTGCCTTTTATTTGGAGTACTGGGCCACCATGGGAAAAGCAGACAGTCCTTCCTTGAGACACGATAAATAAGACCATATGTCCTCCTTGTGTACCAGAAAAAGCTTCCCAACTCTCGTAAGTCTTTGTTTATAGAGAGGCTGATGACCCCTAGACACCACGGCCCAAAATTAGCCATCTTACCCCCTTTACCATCCATCCCACCACCCTTTCCTCTCTATGACGGGACTTCATTTGTAAAAGCTAGTGGGCAGGAAGGTGTCCATGTGGCTCACAGCAACCAATCATATTCCAGCACAGCTTCATCAATGACATGTGACTGGTGCCTGTGGGCAATGGCTTTAATTCCTTAGCTCCAGCATTTACCAATCCGCCCTGGTCATTTTCTTCCACCCCCCCTCACCGTGATTCATCTTTCAATCCCTGCGAAGGGAGTTTTCAGATACGAGGGGGGTCACGACGATGAATGAAATAACAATTATTTCTGGTATAAATATATATAAAACTATATATAAAAAAATATATAGAGAATCTGCTGTCTCTGCGTGTTTTGTTCTAGGTATCAAAGTGTATGTGAACCCCAACAATGAACTTTGTTTACCTTATTTGCTGCCTTGTGGTGTGTTAAATATACCATTGGAAGTGCTTTGTTATTTCTGTTCAGAAAGTGCGAAAATACCTAAGTCTGTCTGAAATCTTGGGAACTGATAACTTCAATTGTTCCCAGTCCTCTCTGTGGACTATAAGACATCACCCCATTATGTTATGGAGAAGAGGAAGGGGTTGATTTTCAAAAGAAGGGGTCAGCAATGGAAGCCTGAGTATATCAGTAACTTTAAAGTTGAATTCTTACCAGGCTCACTCCAAGCTACAAGACCCGTAGCCTCTTACCCCCACTCTATGGCGGTCGGAGGCCCGCTTATGTCATCAAATTCAATGCAGGGCCCACAGCCCTGCATTATACGTAAGGAAACCAAGGGATAGTCCACAAGCCGGAGCATAGGGAAGATGATAAGAGTGCTGACTGCGAAGGGAGCAGCGAGTAGGTAAGTGAAGCTGCTTTACCCAATACTCTAGACTGATTATTATTATACAGGATTTATATAGCGCCAACAGTTTGCGCAGCGCTTTACAATATAAGGAAGACACTACAATCGCAATACAAATTAAAGACAAGATGGTATGGAGGGCCCTGCCCCTAAGGGCTTACAATCTAGAAGGGAGGGGCAAGTGATACATGAGGAGGTAGCAGTGTGGGGATGAATTGTTTGAGAATGTGATGGTTGAGTGGTTAGGTTGAGGTGGGATAGGCTTCCCTGAAGAGATGAGTCTTTACTTAAATGAGTATTTAACCCTTGCAGCACGGGCAAGCCCACTGCAAGTGGCGTTTTATTTTCCCGGAGATAGGCTTTAAAGCAAATCTGTGCTTTGACCATGCAGAGCAAGGCAACAGGTTCCTTGTAACGCCCGCTCATTAGCAGTACATACTCATCTTCCTGCCTGTCTATTTAGCCACCAGAACTGGAGAGACGCACCAGGTACTACTCCAGGTATGGAGTAACATGTGACTCACTCCTCTTCCTCTCATGTGACAGCGTTAGTGCTTGGTGATTGGCCCATTATTGAAACATATGGGTGGGGAGAGAGTCCTCAGTAAGCTGTGATTTACGTAACTCAGAGCTTACACAGGCTTTTCCCTCCTTTTCCCCCAGCGGCTGAACAGAGGGAAGGATAGGTGCAAATGTTTGCTTTATAAGGAATCTATAGGCTTTACCTTGCTTTTAGATATAGAGGTAAATGCATAATGTAAATAATTTTATCGGTGGCACCAATCTCTGGGAAATATGGCATGCCGTATGTAGCTTAGCGGGCCTTATTTGCATATTCCAACAGTTTTAGAATGCCCAAAGCACGCAACATGTCAAAATGGCATCAGTTCACTAAATCATACATTCTATTTTCGGCCATGTCCTAATTAGAACAATCTTTATTTTTGCCTTAATTAACACAGGTGTTATTTTTCATTTTTAAAGTTAAATGCTCTGTGGGGGCGAAACAATTATGAAAGCCCAACTGCAGCCAATACTTTTTCCTCCTACTTTTTGACAGAGCAGGGTACGTATAGAAACCTTCAGAGTTTTAACATAAGAGGCAGGTCTGTGCCTATAAAGAGGCAGCCCTATGCGGTTGCCAAAGGCGGCATCTCATCGGGGGGGCGTCAGGTGTGGTCGCCGCCCCCTTTCCGACCATATCTCTCAGGTTGCTACGAGTTCTTAGCAGCCTGTGATATTTTGTCCGGCGTCCCACCCAGCTCACTGGCAACCAGTGATGTCAGTGAGCTGGGTGGGAGGCAGAACAGGAGCCAGATGTACCATGCACCACCAGCACT